TACTGCATCCTGTAATGCTTCAAAATTATTTCTTGTTATATATATAGTCAATGAAATTAATTTTTGTCTCGATTCTCCTTGTAAGAATCATGGTACATGTCAGAGTTTGGCAAGCACTTATATTTGCAATTGTCCTGAGACTCACACTGGAAGAAACTGCCAAGAAAGTAAGTTGTTGGTTTGGGAGAGAGACAATCAATATAAAATGCTTATTTTATTTATAATGTAGGAGTGAGAGTTACAGTTAGACCAAAAATAATTGAATTCCTTCAACCAGTAACTACTCAATTATATTCATCAGTCAATTTCACATGTAAAGCTATTGGCTCACCAGCTCCATCCATTTACTGGTATAAGAACAACAAGTTAATAAATAGCACTGGTCCTTCATTGCTAATGTTTAATGACCTGAGTCTAAAGAATAGAGGAGTTTATCATTGTGAAGCTAGGAGTGTCATTAATGGTGTAAATATGAGTGTTAATGCTACTAAAGTACTACTCAGCATAAAAGGTAACATCACGAGTCAAAAATTTTATGCCTTATTTTTTATAGATGTGTTACAGTATAAGGCAGTGATGTCTCTAACTAATGACAAATTAAATGATTCTGAATTGATTAATGGAACCATTCAACAACTGGTTGAAGATATAAATTATAGTTTATCTGGCAGGATTATAGGCAATTCTATTTTATTCTTTCTAGAGTTGCTAAATATTCAAGAAATAGAGTAAGACTCCTTTACATGCATGCATGCATGCATGCATTAATTTAGTATAGGATGTATGATTTGTATTAATTTTGTCTGACTATTATTCACTGATTGAGATCATTTCAACATTACTTTTTCTCACTAGTCCTGATTATGATCCAGAGAATGTATCATTGTTAATTACATTAATTGCTAATAATCAAAACAAATCGGCTCAATCAGCATATAGCAAATGATTTAGGAAATTTACTAGGGTTAACAATCACTGATGTTGTAAGATTTGGTAAGCATGTCTACTACTTTTTAAAACTTATTATGTATACATGATTCTAATGCATGATACCAATTTCATAGATGGTTGCCCAACAAGCTCTACAACCTTATTATCAGATTCTAGTGATCCAAGACTTACATTAACAATCAAATGGCCTGAAACTAATATTGGAGAAATAGCTGTAGTTAATTGCCCATGCGGTAGTAATGATATGTCAGCTGGTGGTACCTTAAATGCATCTCGCTATTGTGGAGGTGATTTTGTTAATGGAGCTATGTGGCAGAAACCTTTTGTAATGAAATGTAAATTGAGTGATTTAGCTAGAAGGATATGTCAACTTAAAAATGTGAGTTAATATTTTTCCTGAGTATTTTTACTTTTTCACTATCTATAGCAACTGTTTCCTCCTGTCAGTTACGTATCAGTGATTGATATGGTTGAAAAACTTAAGGCAATAACTAACGGTACTTTGATGGGATCTACTGAAGTAGCTACAGTTGTTAGTGTTTTGGAAGCTGTTGCTGAATTTGCTAATACATTTGCTGGAAATACTATGGTAATGCTTTTTTATAAATGCATGAAAAATGATCATCTTTTTAGTTAATTACATCAATGTTTGAAGTAATTGATAATTTATTAGCTGTTAATCAAGAGGCTTTAATAGAAAGTCAAGCACTATCAAATAGCTCATCAAGGTGAAACATAATATAGTATCAAATTACATTAGTTTTTATAATTTTACTTAACTTTTCTCCATAGAATTCTTGGTATTGTATCTGATATAGCTGCTACTTTGAATATTACTCATGCTTCAAGTCATGTTGTCAAAAGTTATACTTATTTTGCTGTTTCAATTCAAGAAACTAATTTTGAAGGCATTGGTGGTCAAACATTAAGCATCAATCTCACAGACTTCTCTGAGTCAAATGTTACTGTGTACAATATAACTCTTGAAACTGAAGGAAACATTGTTTCTTCTACTGGCTCTGTCACATTGCCTAGGAGCATTTTTAACTCTTCTAGTATTAAAAGAATCACTAATGCTGTATATTTAACCGATTCACTGTTTCTCAGGCACAAATCCAAATATTTTAATGTTAGCAGTGTTGTGATATCAACAAGCATCTTAAGAGAATTTGATGCTATCAAAGAACTGGAGTCTCCTGTCAGTCTTAGTTTTCAACTTAATCCTGTAGGAATTAATGCAATTATTATCGTTAAAATTACTATTGTATTTAACAGGGTATCAAAGGCTCATTTCCTCAATGTGTTTTCTGGGAACAATCTTTAAACAGTAAAGGTTAAAAACCTGATAATTTTAACTTATTCCTGTATAGGTGGGTATGGTGAGTGGTCTAATGATAACTGTGATACTTCATATGATTCAGTTACGCAAGCAATCAAATGCTTTTGTAATCACTTGACCAGTTTTGCTGTAATACAGGTATATTAAAATTAATTGGAGTGTTACTTTTGTACTTTTGGCAGAATAAATGCAAATTAAATGCAAAAATACAGTGCCAACTAAAAACAAAAAAGCAAAAATTACATTGAAGTACTAAACAATTTTATCTACAATGCTGTATTACATATTTCAAAAAGTTATGACTTGGACTCTGTATGATTAAGTAGACTTAATAGTGAATGGCTTTTTTAGATATGGTACTTTAGCTGATCTGAAATGACTCCAATTTCCAAAATCACCTTTACATTTTATGATTCAAATTGGTGTCAAATATTGTGAGCCAATTCCAACTTCATTTTTTGAGTCATGACTGAAAAATGACAAAGTATTATGTATTAAAGCCCATTGCTATTTCAAAAACAGTTCTAAACACATCCCAAATTAAAAAAAATTTTTATATACCTTGATGTCCTTATGCTATGTAGAATGTTTGAGGTAATTTCAACTTAAGTTTTTTTAGATACAAGCATTTTTAAAAATTGATTGACTTTTGAAACAAGCAAAGGCTATAAGAATGGCTCCAAATACACCTCAAGTTTTATTAAATTTTCTGATACATATTGATGTCCATATGCTATGTAGAAATTTTGAGCTGATTCCAACTTTCATGAACATTTTTGAGTATCGATTCCAACTTTCATGAGTATTTTTTGATTCATGAGCATTTTAAAAACAAGCCAATTTTTGAAAAATACTCAAGGCTATTATAGCCCATGGTTTGTTTCAAAACATGGCTCCAGAATCACCCCCAATTTTTATTACATTTTTTGATACACCTTGATGTCCTTATGATATGTAGAAAGTTTTAGGTGATTTTGATTTAAACTTTCTGAATAAATTTTCTGATATATACTTTACATAGTATCATTGTTATTACGCTAAAGTTTGAGGTAATTACTGGAAGTAGTTGATATAAATTTTACAGGAAGTGGTTTATACCATATACATGTAGTCTACTGAGTGTGTGCTATATAATCTTTGTGAGAAATGTTTGATTTCTATGGCTTCCATAGGATAATTATAGAAAAAAATCATGACAATTTATATAATCATTTATATTATTGTACATAGGATGTGTCTCCTACTGAATCTTCAACAGAAGTTAATGTTTATTATCTTGATTCAGTATCTTGTATTGGCATTATCATTTCTATCATTTGTCTCATCATCACTGTTGTGTTCTATCTTTATAACAAGTAAAGAGTTAATAAATAGATAAAAGATGCAGCCAGCAATGAGATTTTATGTGCAAAAATGATTATTTTCTATTTTTATAGGGATTTAAGATTATCAAATCACTGTCACATACTTCTCAATTATTGCTTTGCTCTTATTGGCCTGTATCTCTCATTTATTACATCAATTTATGCAAGGCATATCAATAGTTTTTGTGCAGTATCTGGCTTTATGCTTCAATTTTTCTTTCTTGTCTGCTTAACTTTGATGTTGGCTGAAGCAATAGACCTTTACATTAACATTTTAATTAATTCAAATAAAAAGTTTTTCCATCTAAAAGTTACATTGGTATCTTGGAGTAAGTTTGTTTATAGCTATTATTATTGTAATTTTTTGTCATTTTAGTTGCTCCAATTTTTATCGTCGTATTCTGCTTCTCACCAAACTATATGAATTACATAAGCAACTCCTCAAACTTGTAAGAAAAATTATATATGTAGCATGCATTTTTATTTGACTAAGTGTGCAAAAAGTACATTTTATAATAAATTTTTTCTGCATAATGCATGCATGCTTCTGTGCTGTGTAGTAGTTTTAATGACATTATATTGTAAAATATTTAACTATTTATGATCCTTATCTAAGAAATTAACATTAATCAGTTTTATTAGACAGCAAAATCATTTTAAAACTGTCATGCAATATGTATATTATGCCATATGCACATATTGAAAGTAAAATCAATAATTTCTTACGTCAATCCTTTTAAAATTTTCTAGCTGTCGTGCTTTTGATACTCCATTCTACATTGGTATGGTAATACCTTTTGTCATCGTTTACTCATTCATCTGGGTTGTGTTTATTATTGTCATAATCTCTTTGTTAATGTCATCAAAAATCAAAGATACCGTATACGTTGAAAATTTCGAGTGTTTAAATTTTCGTGTTTTCACTGGTAAAATGCTCAAAAATTAAATTTCGTGTGTGCAAATTTTCGTGGGGGTGTGGCTTTCGAAACAAAAATTAAATGGCAGCGTTACAGTCCTTCTCATATGAATATGTTGTTCGTGGCTACCACATTTATCAAACTGTTTGGGATGCTCAAAATGGTGAAAACCTACCTTGTAGACGTGAATTAAGTAATCTACATGATCCATTTGCAGTTGCTGTTGTGAAGAATAGCAGCACAGTCGGCCATGTCCCAAAAAAGATTTCAGCTGTATGCTCGTTATTTCTAAGAAGAAATGGGACGATTACCTGTCATGTAACTGGTAGAAGGCAGTACTCTCGTGATCTTCCCCAAGGAGGTCTAGAAATCCCTTGTGTTTATGTTTTTGAAGGTCAAGGTGATGACTTGGACAAGGTGAAGAAACTAATTCAGGCTAGGAAACACAAACCTAATTGCATTGAGAATCAGCAACAAGTATCCAGCAGTGAAGAAGCTGTTGCTAAAAGAATGAAAGCAGATAACGAAGACACTCCTCATCAAGAAGTTGTATTACTTGATGATTGTGCTGACGAAACCGTTGCTGCCGACAACCAGCCTGAGACAGAAGAAGAACCAGTTTGGTTACAGATAGGGCCTATAAAATTGATTCAAAGTGACCTTGAACTATTATCAGGAGGCTTGAGGCTCAATGATAACCATATTAATGCTGGTCAATTTATATTAAAGTCTCAATTCCCATCAATCAAAGGTCTCAGTTCAACTCAACAGCCTTCATCTTACGGTTACTGGGTCAACCATTATTTGCAAGTTTTACACTGTGGAGGTAATCACTGGGTAGCTGTTAGTAGCATTGGGTGCAATGAAAGTGAAGTAAAGGTCTATGATTCGATTTATCGTAATATTAGTGATGAGGTCAAAACTCATTTACATACAATTTTAGGCAGCAATGTCAAAATTTCTCTACCTTCAGTTCAGAAACAAATTGGCTCAATGGATTGTGGTCTTTTTGCCATGGCTTTCTCCACATTCCTAGCTCATGGAAATGATCCTGTACTTTTATCCAATCTTAAATTTAAGCAGCATAAGTTACGCTCACATTTCATAGACTGTTTAGAAAAAGGAAACTTGTCAGAATTTGTTTGAACTATAGCTTTCATCAAAAGTATTATTATACATGTATAATGATTTAAATTAGGTTTAATTAGTAATTTCACTTTTGATTTTTCCACCTTTCTTTTCACACTTATTATCAAGAGTTATTGATAGATTTAATATTAATTTTTGACTAAATGAATGTTTAACTAAATAAATGTTTAACATGATAAATCAGTAGCTACATGTAATAAATAAATTGTAACAAAACAATATAAGAGAAACGAAAGCAGAGATAGAACAAGGAACGATAACTAAACAAGAATTTGTTAATAATAATTATAACAAGTTAGATTATTTGAGTTTACTGAGTTGTTTACCTAAATCAAAAATATGCTGTGTATAATGTTATTGCTGATTTTGATCCAATATTTCAGTAATCCCTGCTTCACGAAACCCATTGATGATAATTGAGGGGTGTGTGATGAAATAATCGAACATTTCTATAATCCACTGTGCTGATAAGGGCTTCATAACAGATAGTCTTGTATCTACTTCTTCTTCAGTTCCATTTTCTAACTGCTGATGTACAATATTGCTATACCACCCCTGGAACTTCCGCCTCATAAAATCTTTTGCAGGCTTATTGACAGAAAGATCCAGGGGCTGCAGCTTATCAGTTGTGTTTGGTGGAATTAATACATACAGGATATTATTTTCCTCTAGCAGTTTGATCACTGCTTCGGTGCACTGTCCTCGAAAAACATCAAAAATCACAAGTGCTGGATGGTTACAATCAAGTTGTAAATGCTTGCGTGTTTCTATTACGTAAGGAATAATTATATTTTGCACGTACTTAATCATTGTAGCCTCATTAGACCAGTGATTTGGTGTGCAGCATATATCCCAATCAGGAGGAAATAAAACTCCCTGTGGATAACAACGGTGAGTAGTTCCTTGATATATTAATTGAATTGGCAGGAACTTTCCAGAACAGGTACAAGCAAAAACTGCTGTGATTTGTCGTTTGTCATCCATATTACTTATCTCCACTCTTTTTGTGCCCCGAAGCTCCATTGTCCACGTACAAGATGGACATACCTTAATTGCAGTCTGATCCCAGTTAATAATCATTTCTCTAGGAACTTCTTCCATCTCTACAACTGCCTTGATTGTAGTTAAAAAATCCTCTTGGAGCTCTTTAAAATTGAATGGCAATACTTTCGATGTTGAACTGGCACGTCTTTTTGTGAAACCCATCCTCTTTAAGAAGGACCTGGCCCATTCTTTTCCCAAGTCAACATGACCACCGAACTCTTGCAATGCCCCGCTTCTATCATGCTTTAGGAGAATAGCTCTTCCAACGGCAATAGTGACAGAAGTACCAATTGGTGTCCCTCGACTACGCATGCCACAAATGAGATTTTGTAGACACTTATCTAGTTTATAACCAAGGGCTGGAGGCCTGCCTCGTCTCTTCTCAGGTAATTCTGCAATATTGACAACTTCACCTGTAGTTGCAACTTTGCACTTTTCCTTCATCACCTTTTTATATAAATGCATCCAGTCTCTCACACTACTAGCTTTAACATTCTTATCTTTAAAATGTTGCACAGCCTTAGTAACACCATTTTCACTGGCATATTTAGCTACAGCCGCCTTTTCAGCCTGTGAAATCAGGACATAGCTGCCTCTTTTCTTCTTTTTTCTGTCTCCATTGATACGGTCCACTTCAGTCTGTATGTTAAGAACTGTAGATCTTGGCATAGAAGAAGTTTCCATATCTGATTCAATGCTTGTGTCTCGAGGCTTACGGGGAAAGTACTTGAGTAGCGCCATCTGCAATATATAGACTATGCACGTGCAAGTGAATTAATAGGTGTGGTTGCAACTAAATAACTTTAATAATTATTAATAACCGTATTTCAAATAATGGTTAAATTTTCGTGAAATATAGCTGGACACGAAAATAACGAAAATTAAAACACCACGAACATTACAACGTATACGGTATTTAAACTAACCTTTGAATATATCAAATGCTACAGGTAAAAGTGCATATATCAAAGACTTTCCATACCCTGTAGGAAGTGACACAAACACATTGCCAGACATGAAAGTCATAATAGCTTCAAGCTGTTTTTCTTTCAAAGAAAACCCAAAACGACTGGCAGCTTCTAAAACACTTTTCTAGCTTATCTTCCATTTTATAAATAG